GGCTGGTAAGAGCAGCCAAAAGGACCTCACACAAAGACAGCGAGCCATGTTAAATACAAGTGGAAACTGTAGGACACTTAAGCGGATATTTTTGCAAAAGCATTAAAATGCTTTACAGAAGTATAGGTACTGTGAAACAGAAATGATTTAGTCCAGTAAAGAGCCTGGCTGCTCATTTGTTAAATTTTCAGACTAAAAGAAGGCTGATTTCCTCAGCTTTTTGATTAATCTTCCAGTACACATGCTGTATTCGCTAGTATGCTCTTATGGTTTTTCTCAATATTCCTGCGAGTAAAGACGCAAGATGTTCTTACATAGCGGTAGGATACAAAAACAGTTTAGCAGTTAGAAATTCAGGAGAGAATGAAAGGAAACTTCAAATTTTCACTTACAGAAAAAAAATGCACTTTTATAAAGCCTATGGTACTTCTCACTTGACCCCCAGCAAAATGACAACAGGAGCTGAACAATAAAAGAGAAGCGTCTGGTTGAGAATCACACAAGAAGGCAGGAAAAGATCGAACACCCCAGCTCTGGTCTTGACATCTCTGGACTCCTGGATAAGCACTAAACTCTCGGCCCATGCCGCTCAGCTCCACCCGAGAGGAGCTCCAGTACCAGGGGGCAGGAAGGCAGAGCGTGAGCCCCTGCGGCTGCAGCTGGACAACCCAGGGGCAGGGGCAGGATTGCCAGGCTTACGTTGTTTGTGGCGTTTCACATCGTTACGCTGAGGTGGAAGGGATGGGGAGAAGAGGAAGTAAACTATTTCATCAGCCTGGATAATACCTGCTCATTAATTTGCATTCTGGCTCTCTTAACAAGAGCACAAAGCTAAGAAAGCAAGAAAGTTTTTATTAATTTTTTTTTAGTCTATAAAATTTTCCAGAATTATATTAATATATGTTAGACCCTTCTAGGAAAGAAAGGGAAATTCCCCATTACTCACTATACATAACAGTTCTTCTGTTGTATATATATGAGAGAACTAGGATGTCAATACGCAAACACTGTTAAGGAAAGTTACCTTCTGTGAAGTTTAGTTTTCTTAAAAAGGACACTGCTTATTTGAAATTTAAAAACCTTAGAAGAAATTCAAAGTTTCAAGTATTAACATATTGAACATCATTTGCATCATTTTCCAGTAGCCTCTCCTTACTCTTCTAAGAGAAAAATCACAGAAAAGAGAAATTAAGCATGAACAAAAAAAATACAGAACGGAGTGAAAAAGAGGCTCTGTATTTCACCTTTCGATTTTGTGCTTTGCAACAGAGAGGTACTGAATGCTCAGATAGCAAGAGAATTTCCGTTAATTAAGAGTTTGCTTTTCATACACTTTCATTAGGGCAAATATCATTATGTAATTACTAGGTGCCCAGTTATTATGGGGAAAAGGCCTGCAGAAAGACAGCTACTGCCACCCTTTAATATAAGCCTCCTCAGCTTTTTGGGTGAAAAAAACAAATCTCAGGAACTGTGGAACGCAGCTACGCGGTACCTTATTTTATTGGTAAGCAACTCAAACTGGAAGCCCCACTGCATGCTACATAGAGATAGCGGAACAGATGGTCTAAAGATACCTGTCTCAGTCAAAAAGCATGTTCTCTTCCAATAATATTTTTAGCGTAAGGCTTCTGGAGTTGACAAGCTCGAGAGAAACTTTGCAGTGCCTTCTGCAAAACATGCATATGTAATTTCAATGCAAGAAGTCAGAAGTTCACCTGTCTGACGTCTAGTAAGGGGCAACTGCCTAACATATAATAAGGTAAACAGCAGAACATGAGCTAGCCACAGGATACAGGTATTATTAAAGGTGCACAGCACAGACATTACCTCCATGACATTAGTGTTATCCTTAAATGCAGAACCTCAATAGTAATGAACTCAAAGAATTAATTTCTTCAGCATTTTAACACACCCCTGATTTGTTCAATAGGCCTAATACAGTTAGTATTTTCTCCTCAAACTTAACAGAAGCTGCTTGAGTCCACCCTAACACATCTTCTCTGACTTCCCTGAAAAAGGATTTGCTTCCAGAGCAAAGGGGTCAATATACTGACCAACAAAGATGGCAGAAGTCTGTCAACTGGGAAACTCCTCAAGGAGAACGCAGAATTATCTCTGTTATTTCAGCTCTGCTGCCCAACCTCATGGGTATTCCAAAGTACATCGTCCCTGGGCTGACATAGACAAAGGTGTTCTGCCCAACTTTGTACAAGCCAACAAAGAAGGGATTCAGAAAATAAGCCCCAGCATTTAGCGGGAACATCTGCCCTCCATGAGTATGGCCAGAGAGGATTAAATTTATGTCTGGTCTCTCCTGAAGGGCCCATTTTGCAGCAACTGGCTGATGGGCTAACAGCACTATTGCATGCTCACTGCTACAACCACCGAGAGCTTTTTTTAAATCCATGCCATGCCCTGAGTAGCGTAATACATCCGCCTCAATATCATCAACACCAGCCAGGCAGAACCAGTCGTCAGCGTTCTTTGGTGAAACAATCTTCACGTTCTCATTGTGGAGTGGCCGAATGTTAAACGATTTCAACAGTTCAAACCAGTTGCCAACATCTGATGTGTAGTACTCATGGTTTCCTGTGACAAAGTAAGTCCCTAAAGGGGAATTAAGTTCTCCAAGAGGCTCAACAGCAGGTCGTATGATATCCGCCTCGGAGTCAGTCAGGTCCCCAACAATCACTGTGATATCTGGTTTCAAAGCCTTAACCATTCTCACAATCATGGCAAGCTTCGTCTTCCCAACTGTAGGCCCCAGGTGGATATCCGAAAGCAACACCACTTTCAGATTATTCATTGTTGCTGGCAGCTTGTGAACAGGAACCTCCACTGAATTCACAGTCGGAGGCTGGGAAGCATTTAACAGCCCAACGACAGTCAGCACAACAGTCAGCATGACTGCCAAAACTGACTTCATCGCTGTTCTGCTATTCTTACTGCCTGCTTTAGCACCTCTCCCAGCCAAGAACTTATAAGCCTGCTCTACAGAGCCTAGAGTAAAGAGAAAGAAGATAAGAATGATATAGGCCCCTAGGCAAGTATAGGCAGCTAAAGAAAAGAAATAGGGCTCTTCTGCAACAAGAAACAGCACCGTAAAGAAGCTTGAATGCGCCAAAGCTAGAAACGTCAACACGGCTATTTTCCATGGCACGAAACAGAAGGAGCTAGCAACTGAAGACCTGGAGAACATGGTGACTGTGCTTCTCCACACATGAAGAGATCCTATCAACATGAGCGTGTTAGCAAACAGCACCATCTGCAACCTGAGAAGCCAACGTCGTGTCTTGAGCTCCAGTTGTTCTGCCAGGTAGCTCCGCGATACCATCGTGGAGAAGAAAACCGCTCCTGCAGCCACTGCAGCCTTCGCTTCAAGGGGCAGTTGCTTGAAGGAGATCATCTTTGCTTCCTGACAGTCCCCTTCTGCTCTGTAGGAGTCTCCAGCAGACAATAACGTGGTTATGAAGGGATGCCTTGAGTCAACAAAGCCTGCAACCAGGAACCAGTATCAGCCTTTTAAAAATATTACATACATCCCCTTTTTCCCAGACTACAACCAAAGAAATATTACTGTGCATGATCCACTCAGGAGACTAGGTCATGCAGAATCACTGTCATAAAAACAGGCAGGAGATGTACTGATGCAGAGTAAATTAGGTATCTGAAAACACTGTACTCTGACAGCCCAGTTCTAAGCTTTCTGTCTGCCTCCCTCAAGGACCCTCACCCTTTTTTTTTAAATGATAGTGCCTCATTAATACTTCCTTATAAGAGCTGGCAGTAGATCACAACAATGATACAATGGAACAATTCTGGAACAACAATTTCTGGAAACAATCATGAGAGCATTTGAAAATCCTGTACCCAAGCTGCTTCTCCTGTTAACCCACTGCACATGCTTCCTGTTCTTCTTCTCAAGCAGTTGGCTCCATCTCAAAAGCAGATACCATGGTACGCCATCCTTAATGAACACAAGAGGTTTTACCAACACGTGCTACAGCAGCAGTGAAATCCTCACTACAGGGACTATCATATGCAACTGTAGTCCTAGAAACCACAGATTACGTGTTAGGAGATATCCTTGCCTTCGCTTGTGAAGAAGAATTACCCAAAGTCCTCAAAATTGGTAGGAACAGCAAAACCCACATTGCGTTTTGCTGCTTACTTCTGCCATGTGTATGATTCCTAAGACTTGACACCTACTTCAGCACATCCTGGTCTAATAGCATTCAATTAAGTTGAAAAGGGATTAAAGCATCATGCGCCATGCCTCTTTAGAAGGAAACGGAACGCTAAAGAGTAATGCACGCCTACTCCCAGATTAAAAATAAATAAATAAGCATCAGTTATGTTTAACTTATACTAGAATTCCCAGTTTTGCTTTGTATTTTGCTCAGAGTTCACAGTGTTTCTACTCTGGTACAGTTTGTGTATTTTTATTTAAAATAAACCCCGCTATTTTATTTTAATCAAAGAAGAAAAAACATGGAAGGTCTTTCATTACCTACAATAGTGATCAAGTTTGTTTCAGGTGATGCAACTACCTTAGTTCAAGCCACACAGCAGCACGTACTTAATTTCAAAACACTTCCTGTCTCTCAGTCCATATTTAACTAGAGGAAAGGCAAGCAATCATTACAGCCAAATACTGCGGAACTAGGGCATGAAAGCAGCCTTGCTGGGTTATGCAGTGAACTTAAAAGTCTACAAAGCCCAAGTGGGCCAGAATGCTACTCTGTAGCATGTACTTTCCCAAGCTAATTTAAAGGAACATTAATACCACTAAGACCGACAGGTCCCTACTGTATTATTAAGGACTAAGCCAGGATTTTGCAGGACCCTCTTTCATTGATCGGTCAGGGAACTATAGGTTGACAGAGAAAGTCTCATTTCCTCAAGCCTTCTTAGCTGTCGTAACACCATCCTTACAAAAAAAAGGTACTATTTTACATATGTGCTTTCTACAGAAAATAAATAAAGCTAGGCAGATAAGAACACCAAAAATGCCCCAAAGGGTCAGGCCCATGGTTTCTCTAGCCACGGGGTCATATTCTGTCTCAAGAGCAGCAACAGGAAGTGTTTAAAGAAATCACATGACCCTGGCACCCCTCTGCAGCCCACGTACCCCTCCAGCAGCCAGAGCTGTTACATTAGGCATGTAGCACCCCTGCCTAGTCCTTTTAGTATGTTATTTATGAAGCTGGTGTCCATTAATCTGCCTAATTCTTTTTTGAACCTGTTGATACGGTCTGCTTCTGCTTCCTGCAGGAGCAAATTCCTGCAATTTACTATCTCCTTTATGAAGTACTTTATCCATTTTAGACTTATCTATTAGTTTCACCAAGTGTTCCCATTCCAATACTACTAAATTTGGAATCAGTTTTCCATTGTTCTTACACACCGCCTTAGTCATAACGCCACCTCTCTCCAAGATCATGACTTATTCAACATTCCCTTTGATAAACGTCTCTCATGGAGCTGTGCTACTTTTCACATTGCTTTAACCATCTTTGCAGTTAAAAGCTTGCATCAAAATAACTAAATAGTTTGCTTCCAACTCAAAGCACAAGCGCCAAAGCAGGGCTCCCACAATATTTGTAAAGATGAAGGATTTAGCTAGGCCTTCGGCACACGAACAAAGAATCGACGCGGGGAAGGGTGTAACTCCCTCTTCTCACGCAACCACAGAAACAGCAAGGTTTCCGGTGCGTGCCATCGGCTAATGGAGTCCAGGTATCAGGTAACTGCAGCTCCATTTCCCCTCCCCCGCCCCAAGGGTTGCCTAACTAGGCCCGAGAGTACAATGTTTCTCAAAACAAAGCCTAAATGGTGGCAGGAGTACACCTAGCAGAACCGTTTCGGCCGGCCGGCATGTGAGGAGGGTATCGGAGAGAACCAAAAAAAAAAAAAAGCAGCGAACAAGACAATCCATC